CGTGAGCCCAGGGGTGCCCAGGGGGGCAGGAGGCCAATGGCCCCTGGGCTGTCCCAGCCATGGTGTCACAGCCCCAGGGCAGGGACTGTCCCTGTGCTGGCCCTGCTGAGGCCCCTCCAGGGCTGTGTCCAGGGCTGGGCCCTCAACAAGAGACACTGAGGGGCTGCAGGTGTGCAGGGAAGGGAACGGGGCTGGGAAGGGGCTGGAGCAGCAGGAGGGGCTGAGGGAGCTGGGGGGGCTCAGCCTGGAGAAAAGGAGGCTCAGGGGGGACCTTCTGGCTCTGCAATCCCTGCCAGGAGGGGGGAGCTGGGGGGGAATTCGGGCTCTGCTCTCAGGGAACAGGGACAGGAGGAGAGGGAACGGCCTCAGGCTGTGCCAGGGGAGGGGCAGGTTGGATATTGGGGAAATTCCTTCCTGGAAAGGGCTGTCCAGCCCTGGCACAGCTGCCCAGGGCAGGGAGGGAGTCCCCATCCCTGGAAGTGTGGAAAAAAACCAAATGTGGATATGTCACCTGGGGACACAGGTCAGTGGTGGCCTTGGCAATGCTGGGGGAATGGTTGGACTCCATGCTCTCAGAGGGCTTTTCCAACCAAAACAACGCCACAATTCCATAAGAGGTGCTCCAACCCTCTGATCACCTCAGTGACCCTGCTGGAAGGAGCTGGGGCAGGGACAGGACCAACACCTCGGCACACGAGGACCAGGGCCATGCCCACACCATGCCGGGGTGGCCGTCCCTGACCATCCCCAAACCCCTGCGTGTGCCAGGGTGGGAGGGCTGGTGGAGTGCCCCGGAGCAGCTCCTGGCCTGGGGCCTCACCTTGTCCAGCAAGGTGAAGCAAACCCGCTGTGGGTACTCATTGTCTGCGATCACCACTCCAGCCAGCCCGTCGTTCCGGACGTACACGTGGCACAGGTACTCTGGGAAGGAAACCCCCGTCAGCAAAGCCCTCCCCAGCACCCACCACCACCCACCCAACCCCACGGCTCCCCCTTCCCCCCAGAACACCCTGGAAGGTGTCATTAGCACCCA